CACACACACACACACACACACAGAGAGAGAGAGAGAGAGAGAGAGAGAGAGAGAGAGAGAGAGAGAGATGAATGCGTGTTGAGGTCCTGGGTTCTAAGGGTACATGAGCAGATGGAGGAGTCGGGCCTCTATAGAGAGTGTTGGTCATAAGCACCTAGATTTTGTAGAGAAACGGTGCAAAATGAGAGGATTAGATATGTTGCGAGATGATAGGAGAAGATGGATGGTATAAGTGTGTGTGTGTGTGTGTGTGTGTGTGTGTGTGTGTGTGTGTGTGTGTGTGTGTGTGTGTGTGTGTGTGCGTGCACGCTCACATGGGTAGTGTTTTGCCATGTTCACTGTACACACCTCCACAAAAGAAGCTCGACTGTGCGTGTGCTTGCGCATGCGGACTGTGTGTGTGCGTGCTTGCTCATGCGTAGTGTGTGTGTGTGTGCATGTGTGGACGCATTGTGTGTGTGTCCGTGTCTGCACATATAGTGGTGTGTGTGTGTGTGTGTGTGTGTGTGTGTGTGTGTGTGTGTGTGTGTGTGTGTGCATGTGCGCAGGTGTAGTGTGTGTCCATGGTGCTTGCGTTGGAGGCGAGATGGGAGCTGGATGGATGGGCAGAGGAACATACAGTCCTGTGTGGGCAAAGGATGGGTAGCATGCAGGTGAAATTGGAGGGCATGGCAGTCCCTCTTTTGTCTTGTTCGACTGTGCGCCTTGATGGTGACTGCGTCTGATCTTTTCTTCAAGAAGAGCATTCATGACTGTCACAGCCATTGGTTCCCTTTTGGATCAGCCCCGTATTGGTCACCGAGGAGAAGGAGAGATCATGTCCTAGCAGGTAGTTTGCCTTGACTTGAGCATGTCATCATTGTAATGGCAACCTTTGCATGAATCTGCTTTCAGTGCTTACGGTTGCAAAATGAACTCGATGATCAGGATGATGGCGGTGATGGTGGCGTTTGAGAAAAATAGAATAGCAACTTGGCAAGTCTTCAACTACTGGTTGGAGTACCAATCAAGACTAGACTGTTGTCCTTGTGCATTTCCAGCACTCGCGAGTTTGTCCTACGAACATATTTATCTGTGAACTATGTGTGTATTGTGGGGTGTATGGATGGATGGGATGAGGTGTGTATGGATGGATGGAAGGATGGAAGGATGGAAGGATGGATCTATGTAAGTGTGAATGTATGCATGGATGAATGAATTGGATGGATGGTTGGATGAAAAAAATGGATGGGTGGATGGATGCGTGGATGCGATGGGGTGGGATGGGATGGACTGTGGGATGGAAGGATAGGTGGATGGATAGATGGGGTGGGGTGGGGTGGGTGGGTGGGTGGATGGATGGGATGTAGTGGGACGCTGTGGATAGTTGGGGTGAAATGTGGGTGGATGGAATGTACAGATAGAAGGGATGGATAAAATGGATGGATGAATGGAGGAATGAATGGGATGAGGTGGGATGTGGATGGATGGGTAAATGAGTGCATGGGGTGGATGGATGGATGGATGGATGGATGGATGGATGGATGGATGGATGGGGTATGATGTGGGTGGATGGACTGATAAATGGATGGATGGATGAATGAATGGATGTTTTTAAAAAAAAAAAAAAAAAAAAAAAAAAAAACACAGTAAATGGGGGTGGATGAGGGGATGGATAGATGGATGGGGTGGGATGTGGGTGGATGATGCATAAATGGATGGATGGGGTGGATGGGCGGATAAACGGATGGGGTTGGATGTGGGTGAATGGATGGGTAAATGGATGGATGAATGAATGACTGCATGCTCGGAACCGATGGATGGATGGATAGTAATAAATGGGGAAGGGATTGATGAATAAACGGATGGATGGGATTGATGCACTCATGTATGGATGGGATAGACCCTTTTGAATGAATGGGTGGATGGATGGATGGATGGATGGATGGATGAAGAAATGAATATCAATCACAGCACACACAGCCACTCAAGTATCTGTTCTGATCAGTTTAATATCTGATCCGTGGTCCATCGGACCACACTAAAAAAAAAAAAAAAAAAAAAAAAAAAAGATCCATTGAGTTGTACAGTTTTGACTAATACGTATTGCGTCATTGGGACCTGTCTCCGAGGTAGAGTCCTGGTTAATATATTTTTTAGTATTTTTACCTCTTCAGTGCTGATTTTGATCGGATGGACCTGGCCGTAATGGTTGTGAACTTGTGATGACGAGGGCAGTTTGAAGGTGACAGGAATGTCCCATGATCAGTTAACGCGTTTGCAGCTTTGCAGCGACAAAAAAAAAAAAAAAAAAAAAAAAAAGGACTCTTTAAATACTGACCACAAACATTCTCTCTCTCTTCTATCGTTTCCCGCTGCCATTTCTCTCTGCTATCGTCTCTCTCTGCGATCGTCTCTCTCTGCTATTGCCTCTCAGTGTGCTATCGTTTCTCTCGTCTGTAGTCTCTCTCTGCCATGGTCGCGGTATCGCGTTGGCTTTTCTGTGGGTCCACAGGGATTGATCAGAGGGACCGAGAGGGTATTGTCTTCTGTCCTCCAAACAGAAGGCATCCTTTTTTTTTTTGTTAAACAGGGCCTTATGGTCCTGGCTCCTTTGCATTCTGGGGAGCGACAGTCCGGGGTTCCTATTCCACCGGCAAGTCGAAATGGACATAAACAGAAGGCATCCTTTTTTTTCTCTTTTTTTTTCCCTAATTGTGAACATAGAGAAATTGTAACTGTCATGCGGAGGGTGCACATTCGGACTGGGAGGACGTACTCGTCGGGGTGGAATGGGGGATGTTGTGGTGAACATTAAAAAAAAAAGAAGGAAAAGTCACAAAGGCCCCATCTGTTCTGCGGGGCGGTTGCTTATCAGCGGCAAGCGTGAGACCGAGTTCGAGGTACCAGAAAAAGAGAAGCCAAGTGGTGAAGTTCAGCCTCCTACCCCTGCTGCACTAGACGCTATACAGGGGGGACTGGAGTCTGGCGGGCAGTTAAGTGACGCATACCCTTCCTCCCTAGGGGCTCACGTAGTGGCCGATAAACCTCCTTTTTTTTTTTTTTTTTTTTTTTTTTTTGGGGATAAATCATAA